TCTCGATTAAAATCAGTAATTACTGAAACTCTGGATGACCAAACTGGATAATCAAATCGGATTAGTATTTACTGAGATTAGCGTGTTCAAACAAACAAACAAACAAACAAACAAACAAACAAACAAACAAACAAACAAACTCTGCCTCTTTATAATATTAGTATAGACTGCATAGTTAAAATAGTTTTTGAATGTTGCTTTTATTCATTGAGTATCCATTCATTGGCACAAAAAGAAATCTATTCTACGGGAATTGTACATTTTTATCGGGATAAAAAGCAGCATATATGCTATTCCAGACTATGTTCCAGACTACACTCTGTTTCTGATAAATCTCATTCATATCCGTTCAGCCGTTCGTTCCGGCGTGATTTTAGTAACAAACATCCATCCAAACATCTAAACTTTCACATTTATAATATTAGTAAGATAATTGACGCTTTCGAATAAAGTGTTCAATTAAGTATTGAGTATTAAATGTTAATAAAAAGAATGTCATCAAGTGTGATTATGAGAAAATGCTTAAATATTTTTTAAAAGTAAAAATACTCAGCTACTATACAAAAAAATCGTCTGACGAATAAAGCATTAATTAAAGAAGAGACAAAAGACAAGATTTTATCTATAAGTTAAGAATTTACAAATTCCTGTATAATTAATGATGAAACAACGAAGGTCAGGTTCATGAATAAAGAAAAGAAAGACCAATAAATAATCTCTCATCTCTATAGAGATATGGCTAATTTCGTATGCAGGACGTGTCAGGTTTTGCATATAATCGACCAGGAACAGATTTCGCATCGTCACATATTCGATTGAAAATGCTCGTATGTTTGAATGTGTCAATCTTTCTCCGTAATGCTCTGTGGTGTTGGTGTCATTGTTTGTCACTTACAATTTATATTGTCTTTTTTTATTGTATGCGTACCGATTTATACATAATTTTTTAAAATATTCTATGGTCTAAAAGCTCACTAACATTACGTTTTCGATCATTTTTAGTAATTTTTCAATACAAGAATATAAGCATTTTTAAAACAAAATTTGTCTTATTTTTAAATGAAATTGTCTTCACGTACGTAATTATGGCGATAGGTTAACTACATCGTAATGACTAATCGCTAACTGTATCCTCTATTGTTTATAGTTTATTAATGTGGCTCACTATTGTACGTAAGTATATGATAAAAATGTAAATTTAAACAAGTAACGTATACAAATACGTATGAATATGAAATTATACTTTATCAATTCCGTGCTCTATCAGTAGCTACAAATGTTACCACTTAACTACACATGTATGTTGCATACGTCGTCTATGTATAAGAAAACCTAAGAGTGATAAGACATTACGTATTAATTATATTATTATATAAACACAATAATTATATAAAGTATAATGTCTATTACATATATTAAAAGTTATTTATATATACTTTTTTATGGTACATATGTAAATATATAAAAGTATTCAACAAAAACTTTAATAGCAATTTTAAAAAAATATCATAAATTATTTAATTTTTTAATTTTTATTAAAATTAAATAATCAATAAAAAAAGTATTGAAATTACAACTAAATCCAATCAAATAAAATCCGTCCAATGACAAAGTTCCACGATCCACTTCGTGGCCATCTGGAATCCATGGCTTCACCAAAAGAACCAATCATTTCTACATCTTAATAATGATGTGACATCACGATATTTTTCTTTACCGTAAGACAAGTGGAAAATATCAGAGTTATGACACCCGAGATTTGAACCTACGTCACTTGGTTCCTTAAGCGAGCGCGTTACCACTGGGCTACCACTACCTACTATATTATACAGAAATAAATATTATATTGTAAAAGTTATTGACTACAGACCAGGATGATTGGATATTTAAAATTTTACCATAGAAGGTATATAACGATATACCTACTAACACTTTATCTTGGTTTAAAGAACCCTGAAAGGCGTTTGTAAAGGAAACGTGTCTCGATACCGTAACACAATTTTTTATCTTGCCATTGTCTTATTCCCTCAGTTAGGTACTAGTTAATTCTTTATTTCTCACACGCGTTGCCAATCATTATTACCTATCATAGTTATATGCTAAAATTCCTTTTAAATGAATAGTCTAAGTAATTAAATTAAATATTACGGTCGCTTATTTATAATGAAGTTGTCAAGTTTACAAGTTAGGATTTTTTTTACATTAACACACAACGCCATCTAGTTCCATGGTAAGCTACGAGGCTTGTGTTATGATACCAGATAGTTGATACATTATACATATATAACTTTAAATACATACATATTATAAATATAAACCCATGACTGGAGTACAAACATTCGTGCTCATCACACAAACGAATGCCCCCAGCGGGACTCGAATCCGCGACCGCTGGCGCAGCAAATAGGGTCACTACAAACTGAGCCAAAATTGGTATACTGTTCCTCCCTTATTTTCTTGGTCTTCCTCAATTGCGAGGTGGATCAGGCCGTACTCCCTGTATGTCCCTACTACATACTGTGTTCCCGCTTGATTACAACATGGGGTTATTCAAGAGACGGACCAATAAATTCCTAAAAAGCCGACAAGGCATTGGTGGTGCCTCTGGTGCTACAAATGTTCATGGGCAGCGTTACTCGCTTAACATCAGATGACTCGCCTGCTCGTTTGCTCGCTATTATTATAAAAAAAACCCTAGCCAAATCTAGGTTAGAAGACGTCACATGTCTTTCGAAAACTAGTTCAGCTCTCTTACAAGTTTATAAGATGAAATACAGACCTGAGTAGAATCTATATTTTATTTTACTAAAAAACAGTAGGAATATGACAGGATTAATTGGAAAATGGAGTGTCAGTAGAAAAAGTGGAAAAGTAGGAAAAGCTTATAATTTAAACAAGGGATGTTCTTAATTCGGTCCAATTTCGTGTGTCTATTTTAACACAACATTTGACCCAGTTGCAAATATATTCTAGAGTACCTGATGATGTTCTCCTGACCGATTTCAGCTACGGCGGCTAATCACAGTGCACAATTATTCGCACAGACACAGCGTGCACTCTCTATTCCTTTCACTTTCAAATTCCGACGGGACGATAAATCGATACAGGATCGACGGCTTTACGTGCTCTCCGAGGCACAATTTTCCATGTCCGGGCTGTTACTAAGACTCTCTTAACACAAAGATTCAATAACGAAACTTGACCCGGCCCGGGACCCGAACCCGGGACCTCTGGATGAGAAACCGTACATGCTAGCTACTACACCACCGAGACAGTCAAAAGTTAAAGTAGCTCTATTAAACAGGTCATATCTCAAACTATAAGCGGTTATGTTTTTATTGTACGTGTACAAAGGAAAATTTTTGAAGTTGGTTTTTATTTGCTTAGAAATATATGGATCGATGAATGGAAAATACCTTGAAGTATGGAATAGAAAAAAAATTTGCCAAGTGAATGTTTATTCTTTTTAATCTGTGTGTTTTTAATATGTTACGCGATCTATAATATTATATTTTATTTCAATGATACTTTTCAAAGAATAAGCTATGGCTATTAGATCAGCCCTTTTTAACGTCCCACTGCCGGGCACGGGCCTGCCTAGTGCCGTCAATACGATGGGGATCAGATCATAGTCCACGACTCTAACCAAATGCAGGTTGGCGGATTTCATAATATCATTCGAAAACTTGCTAGGTTCTCCAAGACATGTAAGTTTCCTCGCGATGTTTTCCTTCGCTGTAATACAAGTGGCAATCATGTTATTAATCGCACATTAATGATTCGCACATCAAAATGAGACCCGAGATATGAACCCGCTTCACTCGGTCTCCTAAGCGAATGTTGGGCTACTGTCTCTTAAAATTATTAATATATTTTTATTGCATTATAATATTATAATTATTTTCTCCATTAAGTTATAAGTATATTTTCTTGTTTATTTAGTGATTAACATTAAGATATGCATTATTTATGCGTATCTCGACGCAATGTTGTTGCATAATGCAGTGATGCGCCGCGCTGTGCTTCCTAGATCTCTAACATCCTATACACATGTTAATTTAAATATATAGGTACTTTAAAATATAGTATAATGACTTTGTATTTCTTTACCTATTTTGATTTACTATTACTTTTATGAAATGTAAGATTGTTTTACAATCTTACTCAATAATACGTCGTATATCGTAGCTACTATCACATATTTATTCGTACAAACAAACTAACAAACAAACAAATACGGCTTAAAGAAGTATTTACTCAATTCAATTGTTTTTCCAATGGCTTGAAAAGAATCTCTTTAACAAACTCATCTTGTTTATCAATGTTTATTATTGATAATATACCTATCAAATATCAGGTTAGCAAAACCGCAGATTGTAATAGCCACTTTGTAAATATAATCTTCTCTGACTTCTATTATATGCCAGCTGTATCCTAGTGGTTAAAATATTTATATTTTTAATAAACATTGCCCTGAGCAAGAGGAAGTAAGAGCGGTTAATGGATGATATCAAGAAGGAATGGGATAAATGTCACGACCTTACTTTTGACTAACACGAAGCTAAAAACTACGCCTACCAGATTATTCGTCCTTTATGACTTTATTACGATTTTACTTACAATATATGTGGATCCTTTGTACACTTTTAACTAATTCAATTTAAAAGTAAATTTTCTTATAATAGCTTTAACCGAGCTTTAAAAAGTTGCCAATTCCGTAATTTTATATTTCTTTATGATAACGGTATATTCGGTATTTGTATTATTTTCAATGAATAGGTTTTAGAGATGTAGAGTGAAGTGAACTCTTTTAAGAAAGTATTTCCTAAGGATTCGATCATCATGTTAAGACCTGAGCGAAATGAGTGGTTTACTTAAAAGAAAAATTTTTAAAAGAATGAAAGAAAGTCACGTAGGAAAATAAAATTTAGTAGTGCTTAGGAAGTTATAGTTTTTTGACTGCTGATTATATAAGAAAGATTTAAAATATTTCAACTCACAGCTTCTCTTCTAACCCGCTGGCGGTGTCGGGCAGTCTCGTTGAGCGCTGACTCTCGCTGTCGATATCCTTCACCTGTAACAAAGCGAAAATGTCCATACAATCTGTTTTTAGATGTAGTAATTATTGTACCACGATGAAAAGAAACTTCGTAAACTTTAAAAATATTTATTACATATTGTCTTGCTAATTATAATTATTTTAGAATTTCCCCTTTTTTTCTTATAATGAGACTTTGAAAATATAGTTATTTAAAATTTTCAAAAAAGAAACTATCTTATCGGATTTTGTCGCGTCTTTATTTTATATTTTAGTTCCCAACGTTTCGACTTTCGAATGATAAAGTAAAAACGGTAGAGTCTCTCCTGTATAGAAAAGGCAAATATTTATTCGCGTAAATCTAAGAAAGCATTAAAAAATTAAAAAATCATAAACAGATCCAATATTTCATTGATGCTATAAATGGAGTTATATTTCTATAAGAAAATCAATAAATAGCTTTGTCTACATAAATAATTTATTTATGTGCAGTATTTACGATACGGTTTATTTATAATAATGTAATTACGTGACCGTTTATATTTCACCATAACAGCTATTAAGCACAAGTAGAATTACATATATCTATACATATAATGAATATCTCATCTTTGAGAAATCTATACTAAACGTTAAAACGTAACTAGGGACGAACCCGAGCGGAGCGAGAGTGAGTCGCTAGTATTAGTAGATATATGGTTTTAAACTCCGACACTTAATATTAACTTTCTGTTAATGTAAAATAATAAAATAAGGCGGAAAACGAAGCAAAGTTATTTTCGCAGATATGAGTTTGTTGATAACAATGGAATGAAAGTCAATTAATTGAAAAGAATCTTTAATAAGTATACTATGCATTGTTATAGCAAAAAATACTATATAATATATAAAGTATATATTATCACGACATAAAATTATTATTTTATTATTAATAGTGGCAGTTTTTGTTATATCGATTAAAAAGTTTACCACTTTTTAATGGGTTTTAATTGCTTCTAAACACGAAAATAACTATTTAGTAGAAAACTGTAGAAACGGAAGTGGATAACATTTTTGTTTTCTTATTATATTTTTTATTTGATACTGAGAATGTTTATTATATAGAATTACGTTGTCGTTATTAAATTTTAATGAAAAATAATAATCATTAAAATGATACAAAAACGATAAATGTTAATAAATTGACAGAAAAGTTGCATCTGCTAATATACATTAAAATAGCAGCTACGTATAAATGAATAAACAATAACGAATGTCTCTACGACACGACTGAGGGCACGAAATCTAGCCCTGCTTGGCACACATTTATAAATTACTACCTTACTTGACTTGACTTACCCACGCTTCGCGCGGGTGCTTCCATTATTTTTTTGTACCCCTGTCAGAAATTAGGAGGAACAAACAGACAGACAGACGGATATACAGATAAACAAAAATTATAAAAATTGTTTTTTTTTATATGTACCTACCGTATATAATATCATATACATTTAATAAAAATCTGCTATTTTAAAATTTTTATTTATCTTTATAGATATAAAATATTTACAGCAGCCTAGGCGCTAAATGAACATGCATCTGTTTCACGGACTCCAGACACACTTGCTCAAAATAAATCATAAGTATTTTTCCCCCCTCTCGTTTTTCTATAGAAATTAATTAAAAAATACAAAATTATTATTAATATTTTGAATTTATATATCAATTTTAAAGCGTAACGTAACACCAAATAAACATGATACAAGTTCGGTAATGACATCAGATGCATTGTGCTAAAACAATGGTCCGTCAAGATAAGATAAATAAAAATACGTAGGTATCATATACAAACTAAGATTTTCTTTTAACACTTTAATATCAACCTTTCTTTGATATATAAAAATATGCATAGTAATCATACGATAGAATATTAGATATTTTGTATTCATTAAGCCATTTTTAACGTTCCACTGCTGGGCACGGGCCTCCCTTCAATACGAGGGGGATGAGGCCGTCGTCCACCAGCTGGCCAAGTGCGGGCGGACTTCACATATCTTTCGAAAACTTGTTGGGTTCTCTCAGACATGCAGGTTTTCTTACGATATTTTCCTTCACCGTAAGATAAGTGATAATCATGTTGGAAATTATTTGCGTATGAAAATATCAGAGGCGCGAGAACCGGGGTTTGAACCCGCTTCACTTGGTTTCCCAAGCGAGCGCGTTACCAATGGGCTGCCACTGTCTTACAAGTGAGGGTTTGTGGTTGTTACTTCTTAACACTGTAATAGCTCATTGTTGGTACATTAACACACAAAACCATCTAGTTCCATGGTAAGCTACGAGGCTGTTATGGATACCAGATAGTTGATACACTACACATATATAACTTTAAATAAATACATATTGTAAATATAAACCCACGACTGGAAAATTCGTGCTTATCACACAAAGAAATGCCCCCAGCGGGACTCGAGCCCGCGATCGCTGGCACAGCAAGTAGGGTCACTACAAACTTTTTTTTTTGTTTTAACGTTGGGAAATGCATTTACGCACGAGGTGTGGGACTCACCGGCAAAGCCAGTACTACCCACTAAAACCCAACAAAACCTTCCCCCGTCTTAATGGGGCATCGCAGGATCGCTTACGCATTCAACTACGACGCCCCGACGGCAGGTCTGCCGAAGCAGACCACCACAACCATGGGGTTGCTCCACAGTCCACTCTGCTATCAGAGAAGTACCAGGAGCAACCCGCATGGTGCACTGCCCTCCAAAGAGGGCCACCTTCCACCGCCCACCGAAGTGGGCCACCTCCCTGTGCGTTTCTTGGCTTCGCGCCCGGTTGGGTTGCCGGGCACTACTGAGCCCCCCCACCACGAGGGTCACTACAAACTGAGCCAAACGTGTCGTCGACGATTTATTCGCTTTATCATTTATATGTATATAAGGGATATAAGGAAATAATATTAATGTACTCGAACTATACCTTATTATATAAAGAAAAATGAGTAATAACATATAATAGATGCAATCATGTTTACGTGTCTATGTATTTGTTCTAACAAAAAGCCAATTACGTGATAAAATGAAAAGTTATACATCTAATAAAACTTTTATATTTTACTCGTAAAATCTATTTAAATAAGCATTATATATGGTTGTAAAGCAAATACATAATATGAAAATACATATTAAATATGAATATAGATTATATCGTTTGTTATTCTTTGTCAATTAAAGATATTAATCAAAATTTTAGCATTCATTATTTCGCTGTTGGTGGGGATTCGATTTTCGCATGAGAAAAAGGTTTGGAAAAAGTCGTTTCTTAAAAAAATAAAACTTTTTAAAACTACAAGATGTTGAGATTAAAAGGAAAAAATATGGAACTTATTTCTAAAGCTATCCTCCTACTAAAAGTTAAAGGACATCGAAGTGAACATCCACTTGAATTTGACTAGACTATAGAGATTACAACATTGATAATACGACACGATTTGCTAATACAATAAAAAATTTAATAAAATTTTGAGATATTCAAAAGTTACAAATTACTAATATCTAATACTTTTAATACCTGAATACATGCAATCGTCAGTATTTTTTTGCGAGATCGTTATATCATATTGCTCTGGTCGCAATGTGTTGTTCCACTTGCCACACTGTGCTCTACTTCCAGCGTTTTATTCTTTTTGACCACTTTCCGAGTCCGTGGATTCGAAAGGAAATAACTCATCACACTATAAATTTACTATTGTATAAAGTTTTGTGATTATTAAGTAACATTTTTCGAATTTTTTATATATAACATTTGATGAATTTTTAATCATAGAGAAAATCAAATTTTAAATATATATACTCTTACGAAATTCAATATAATAATGCATGATTGGCAAAAAAAAAATAGATTTACTTTGCACATTTAAAATATTATAGTATGGGTAAACACTAGAAAATCCCTCCGGCCAATCCTGTAGAGCGTATTGTCTTTTTTTTTGTTACTGCATTACACAATACTAATATTGTCGGTAATAACATTATTACCAATTTTAGTAATATTAATATAAATAGCGTAGGACCATTTTATTGCACACGACATATAGGTTTCTCCTTAATCGTGAGAGAATCAAACCGTTTCTTGTCATACTTTCCCTTTTATTGTATTCAGCATTGTATTTATTAACATCCTTGTTAAAATGGTCAATATGCTATAATCGCAATATGTTACGTAACAATTGCTGTTCATTAACTCCTGGATTCGAGATTCGAGTAGAGTCTATAATTACAGAGGTTTCCTGTTGTTAGAAGGAAGCTTAGTGACATCCAGATATGAAAAAGTTTGCGGTGTTATCAATTCCCGTACATCAGAAAGCACATTAGAGCTTCGGTCCTGTGCTTAATCTGTTTCTGGTAAGGATCCCGTTATCGTGCCACTAGACTATAAAAGCGAAAGGAATAACGAGTGCGGGCATTTTGGCACTTGGCATATACGCTTGTGCACTATAATGTCTCCGAGGCAGATGGCTAGCCGAAACCTTAAGGATATTAATAATAATAAAAAATAGTTACATGAAAAATGAGTGTAATTGTATGTTACTACTAAACTATACTGGCTTTCCTTTGACAATCAAAGAGTTTGAAATAAATAATAATTTCCCCACTGAAGTGAAACCATCTCATAAAATTCAATGGATCGAAACCTCCGAACTTGCATCATTAGTAATTTAAAAAATTGACGCAATTTTTTTTTTTTGTAAATTATTTTTTTAGTTTGGTTCTAAAAATAGGCGTGAATCTGATTAGCGTCTTTGTCACGCAAATTATTTGTGAAACGTTAGCTTTAAGTAATATTGTAATACAATTGCGATAAAATTCTAAAATAAATTCTAAATTCTACAATTCTTGCTCAAAACCCCTGAAGCATAAAAAGCATTAAATATTCTTCTTGTTTATTGATGGTAATAAATACTCGTCAAACTCATATTATTACATAGAAAATGGGAGTAAAAATAATGAAAGCTTATTATCACGCTAATTGCACAATTGCCTAAGTTTTTT